TGTTATTGGTTTGGTGATGTGGAGGCTATCGGCCGAATGTATAGAATGGCTTATCGAGGCAGTGAGGTTATATATAATTTTGCTAGCTAGTTCAATTCAATTTTTATAGTTGTGGGGTTTTATTTTGGGCGCCTTTTAATTGGATGAACTGTAAAGTTCTCAGGACACTTTTCAAATAGAGCAGGTCTAGACCGAACTCCTTATAACATTAACAGAAGACCCATATCAGTACCACCATGGAGCAACCACTTGCACGGGGGCAAGGAAAAACTGCCTTTTTAACGGGGCAGAAACCTCGGACTGACCCTTCGGCTCTAGGGTGGGTGGTCATTCTGCCTTGGACCAGGTTGGGGGAGAAAGAGAGAGAAGAGAGAGAGAGGATGAGGAGACAGGATGAGATAGATGGACAGAGAGAGACAGAGAGACAGAGAGACAAACAGATGTACAGCCAACAACAGAAGCAACAAACCACATCAACAGCCAAGATCGATGACGATCATGAAAAAGACGGTGACGACGCGAACAGCAGAAACGACAAACAAAACGGCCCTTCAGAAATCTAATGGACTTTGGGAACATTATTAAAGTTTATGAACTAAATACCAAGTGCAAGACCACATATGTTATCCCTAGTTTGTGTGATTTCATTGCCGTCAAACTGAAAAGACACAGGAATTGTTAGGAGAGCAATAGGAAGCTGCCAGAATGGGGAGCGAGGACAGCACGATTTTAGTCCCTGCCTTCGAGTGTAGCCATTCACATCAGCATGAGCACTTTTGCTTCTGATAAGACAGGTGTACAACCTGGTTCATTTGAAGTTGGCTTTAGTCTACAGTGTATTGGTCTGCTAGAGTATCTACTTTACCTCTGTGTTCCACTCACTGTGTCAGTGTGGTCATTAGATCTGTCTGAGGCTTTTGTTTCCAATCTGTCACTGTAAACGCTCTGTTTCCTTTGTCTGAGCCGTCACCTTGACTTGCCACACTTCGTGTAAACTTCTCTCGTTTCGCCTCTCAGGACCTCTTCTGTCCTTCTACTCCATTTCTTCTTTGTCCTTCTCTCCAGCCCTTCTCTTTCTCTCCTTGGTGAGGGAGTTGTGTTATCATTTTTTAAAACTCTGGACAAATATTAATCCCGAGACCGCCGCAGAGGAATGTGTATCAACAAATCTGCCTAGCCAAAAGAAACTTAAAATGGGAATAGATATATTTTGGGGGGATTTCAGTGATGTTTGCTCTACAGAGAGAGCTTCAATCTGACATTTATTTCTGCAATTCTGCGGGTGTGTTCTCCATCTGAAGCTAAGTAGATAGCAAATAATGAGTTAAAGTGAAACTCTATGAGAAGGGTACTGGTGGTTATTGCAGATGACTATCATAATAGACAGAGATAATGCAGTTAATACTAGGGAAAACACCAGAAAATACAGCTGGTTAGGTGGAAGTAGTCTTATAGGACTAAGGGTGGAGAACTGGTTTGGTTGAAGTTTTGGCTCTTATTGGACAACTTTGTTTGAAATGTTTTATATGTAAAATCGAAAGTCATTTACCAATAATTCGCAGGAGTTTTTCATTAAACTGTCACAGTTTCAAAATAATCAATTAAGTCCTCACCTCAGTACACCAGTGTAAACACAGCCAGTAGTGGGGGTACACGTGAATATAGACAGACTTTCAGAATAACAGCCAGACCAGTAGAATGGAGGTTTGAAATCAGATTTTAAACAGGAACCTGCAGACGCAAACCCTGTTTATATTTTCAGTTTTTAGCCTGCCAACACAAAGCAATTTTTTTGTGATGACCATTGGTCATTGGCATTCACAATTTTGGATCCCACAATTAAATTAACATGATTCTCTGTGAATATTGTGTTTAAAAATTGTGCTTAACTCATAGGGAACTCTGCTGCAGATCAAATCAAGCATTTTACCTTAGGAAGTAGACTATAGCCAACATAAAATTTTTTTTACAATTTTACATGACTAAATACATTACAAGCAAAAGTGCAATTTACAGTATGAAAGGAAAAA